GAGTGGCTGAGGACTCTAGATTCATGGGAAAAGAGGGACTAAGAGCCCATGGCCAGGATGTGCCCTTTGAAGGTGTAAATTATTATTTATGCTTGAGTGTTTTTTGTTTTTGTTTAAAAAAAAAAAAAAGCTAAAGTGAATAGAGAAAAAATACTGTTAACTGATGGTACATGGAGGTGATTATAATCATTGTGATGAAACAAGGTGTATGGTTTGTTGAATGTAAAACTGATGATCTGCCCTGTAAACTTACACTCAATCCACAATAAAAACTTTACAAAAAAAATCCAAACGGCCCCTTGAAAAAACACTGGCCTAGCCCCATCTGAGACGCTTTATGGGTTACCCTACGTAAGCCCCACTACTGACCTTCCCATTTTTTTGACAAAGGATCAATTTCTCAAAAACCAGGTACTTGGCTAGTCCTCCACTCTACTTATCTTAGGAAAAAGGATTTTCTGGTACAGACAGCGCCCCTCAAGGTCCCAGTGCATTCTCGTCGCCCTGGCGATTACGTATTAATCAAGAACTGGAAGGGTGGAACAAAACAAAAACAAAAAAAAAAAACAACTGGGAGGTGGTCCATAGAAGACAATACCCTATCTCCATAGAAAGGAGAAAGAGTCTGCAGCCAGTATGGTAGTTTTTCAAATATAATTCTTAAGATAAACGTCGACATGGGCTATTTGATTTTACAATGCACAATCTGAGTTTGCACATGCAGGCTGAAAACGTCAATGTGAAATGGGCATTATGAAGTTGGTTTGTTCTAATATCTTCAATATTCTTTCTTCAGTAAAATGATATGAATTAACCCATTTAAAAGGTGGTTAAGGATTGTTTGGCTGGTGTGATAAAAAATTTTTAAACTGTACATTGCTCAAAAAAGAAAAAAAAAAAAAAAAAGACTAAACTTTACCATAGTCTACCGAAGTGTAAATATGCTTTATCAGTCTTGCAGGTTTTGAGATGAGTTTTCTGTTTCCTTTATAAGTATCCCATATTGAATAATGAACAAAGGCAGATGTCATTTGTGATTGATAGCAAGAACAAATTTAAATTGATACCAAACCCCTTTGACTCTTGGTTTCCATTCTACTGATGCATTGCAATATGAAGTGGAATAATTGGCAGCTCTTCCCCACCTTCACTGTGTTGGCTGATTCTAATGAGGTCTTGTGTTTCACTCTCCACGTAGTTCAGTTAAGCCTGAGTCTATTTATCAACCACTTGGCTGGGCCAGCCACCATCACTCCTGCTCTACATTAGTGGGTCTGGGCCTGGGACCCGAGATGGTGGGTTCAGTAGGAGCAATCCTTCTTCACTTGTCCATTCTTTGCCTGAGTTCAGGCCCAAACAAACAACATTCTTCATTTCTTCCCCTCAGACCATGACAGTCCAGTCAGCGGGCAGCTTCCTAGAGACCAACCCACTGGCCTCTCACCACACTAGCTACCCCTGCAGCCACATCTAATTTCTTCTTTTGCATGTGGAACTTTATTCTTTTAAAAATATTTTTTTCAAATATCAATGATTCTTCCCGGATGATCTAACAAAGAACCCGTGTCATTGCAATACTTTCTTCTGCCACTTATTCCTGAACTCCTCGATCTCCTTCCTGTAAAGCTCTCTTAGGTGAGGCGAAGACTTAGATTTCCACATCATGGAATAACGTACTCTGTAATGGCCTCATGGAGAAGATGTGTCAATAAACTTCACTTAATACTATTTGTATCATGACCAGAATGTATTAGATATGGTCCTGGCGACTTCTGGTGTGGCACTGTAGTTTGACTGCAGGACTACAAGGTTAGTTTGAGCCACAAGGTCAGCGATTCAAACCCACCAGCCGCTCCTTGGAAATCCTATACAGGGTCACTAAGGGTCAGAACCAAATCAACAACAGCACTTAACAAGAAGAACTAACTGATCATGTCTGATCCCAAAGATAACCCTAGTTTGGGACAAGAAGTAACAAGTAAATTTCAATGACTTATCTTTTAAGTATCCTACCCGCTCCTCTGAAAACAAAACCAAACCTCAGTGGGTCACCATGGACTACCATGTTCAGATCGGATCATCCCACCATTACCATCTGTGTAGAACTAGCCATCTACAGCGGGAAGCCCGGTGTGGCCTGTCCTCCAGTGGATACATACAGCAGTAGGTTGAAGCACTTGATTGGAGGATGTTGATAAAAAATTAATAGCATAAAACTTATTGGGCCTGTCTCTTTTTATATTTGTTTAGAAGGAACAAGAGTGTAGGAAAAAGCAATGGTGTGTGTCACCCAAGAATGTAATAACACTACCTCTCTCTCCTTGTTTTAGGGAATGCTGTCGGTTTTTTGGAGACAATGGCTTGACTTTGAAGGTGTTTTTTACCAAGGCAGCTCCCTTTGGTGTTCTTTGGACACTCACAAACTACCTATACTTACATGCAATAAAGAAAATAAACACTACCGATGTCTCCGTCTTGTTCTGCTGCAACAAAGCTTTTGTGTTCTTGCTCTCATGGATCGTTCTCAGGGACAGGTTCATGGGAGTGAGGGTAAGTTCTTTATTCTCTGTCTTCCTCCCTCACTCAGTCATGCCAGCCAACACCTGCTCATTGGCTTGCTTAGTTCCATGTGCTGGACCATAATCATAAGCTACTGACCACTTTCCTTCTGATTTGCAGCAGAAAAAAAGAGCCCCATTCTTGGTGTGACTTGCAGACCATCCTAGACTAGCCTTCACTGAAGCACCTTTCATTTCAAGCAATCCTATCAGCCTTTCCTAAAGTGGGCTCTGGGGACTCCCACCCCAGGAAGGGGCCACCAGCTCCTTTCGTATGCTCATTCCCTCTTTCATGACAGCTTCCCATCTGCCGTGCAGGGTGTGGCGGTGACTCTCGTCTCCAGCTCTCTGCTGACCCTGGCCACCTGCGCCTGTCCATCTTCAATCCAGACTGGGGGCTCTCGAGCCCAAGGCCTTCCACATCCACATGCATTCAGTCTTGGAAATGCTTTACCTGGACTATGCGTGTAATCCTCAAGTGAGCCAGATCCATTTGCATGAATTTCAAACTGTAGAGAGACAAGTCTACTTCCTTCATACAATGAGTGAAGAGAAGAGACATTATATTCCTTAAGCTCCCTCTCATTGTTACAACAAATTGTAGAAGCAGCCAGTCCAGAGTGACTGTTAAGTTGTATGAAATAGGACATCACTGGAACAGAAGGAATCCTGGTGTGGTGCTGTAGGATAAGCACTCGACCGCAAGGTCGGCGCTTCAAACCCACCTGCCCCTCCTCGGAAACCCTATACAGGGTGGTTTGGGGTCGGAACTGATTTGATGGCAACTGAAATTCAAAGGAGCCTGCCCTAAACGGGAGGAGCTGGAATCCCGTGAATCACGGTGACTTTTGTGTGGCTCCCTCTAGTGGCCAGACATTGCTGCTGCCGTTTCATTACCTTGTCAGCAAACAGAACACAAAGTGGATTCCTCCTTGCAGTTCATTTTCTTGTTTTCTCCATCTCTTGGTGTGTCCAGAACCCCACCACCGCACACACACACCACCACCACACCAACGATCTAGGGAACGCAGCGCTTTGGTGTCATTCTCATTAGACCAAGCCATCTGGCAACGAGCCAGGACCAACTCCAGGCTTTGTCCTGAGAATAATGACATCATCCTAATTGTGGATTCATGCCCACCTAGTTACTCTAATAGCAGTGGGGGACATGAGTCAACTTCTGCGTAGTATTTTTAGCTTGCAGTAGGGGGAATTTGTTTTGAGGCTGAGTGTTAATTTTGGAAGAAAAACTCACTCACTGTGCTAAATCCCAGAGATGCTTCCAGCAAATAAATGATCTAATAAATCTCTGCAGGGATTGCAGGCCCTTACACCAGTGGTCCATCCAGCATCCTGACTGACTTGATGTGAAGACTCTGGGATCCTGGAGACTATTGTCACCAGTGCTGCTCCGGATGATTTTTGTTCAAAGAACTGAGAACGTTCGGAGAACTTTATAGCATGATTCAGTTTCTGACTCTAATGTCCCAAGCAAATGCCAAATGAGACCTTGTTACTCTGAAGAGAAGCTTCAAAGATAATTCTGCACCTAAGCAGAAGAAAACAGAAATTTGTTGAGCTAAGAGGAGACACAAAGATCTTGAATTATTCCTCGATTCCCAGAGAGCAATATGCCACTTCAGATAATCTCTTTGTTGCTATAAATTGATAAGAAAGGTATCAGTGTTCCTGGACTCTGATAAATTCTAGCCACGCTGGCCATATGTCCAGTGTCATCTGTGATGACCGCTGTATTCTGAAAATCTTGGTATTGAAAGCCTGCAGTATCAAGCCAACTTTGGCTTGAGGCTGATGGCAGCTTGGTGTAGCCGAGGAAAAACTGTCCAGGTTTAATGATAACCACGCCTCCTCAGAGACATCTGCGGCTGGTCATCTAAGAGATTCCCAGCACAGGCAATGATGGGTTTCCCCATTCTCATCTTCAGAGTTCACAGAAGTAGCAAAATCTGAGATGCTGCCATCTTGCCAGAATGATGAAAAGTTGGACTTTTATGAACAGATAGGAACTGAGGTCCAAGGTGATATGTAGCAGGTATGGGGGTCTCTCAGGCTTGTCAAGCTGCTGGATGATCAAATACCTTCCACTGGATAATTACCAAAGATTGAGGAGAGTTCACGCTGTTCCCCATTCCGGAGGGTTGAGCGTGAAAGTTTGGAGACAGGAGCTTAGCAGAGCCTAAGCACTATGTCTGTATCAAGACTTCATGACATACTTGGGTTACTAAGACTCAAAGCACAAAGACTGGGGGTTCTGAAAACCATCAGCAGGCCCCGGTGGTTCCAAACAGATCCAGAAAGAAGCAGGTATATCATTCATGCTTGAGGGATCTCAATCTATGGCATCAGAGGGTAGAAACGTACATGGTGAATATTTGAAAGGAGCCCATGCTAGCCTTTGACTCTTGCTTCCAACACGGTCACCACAACAATTGGAATGAACACATCAACCCCTTTATTGAGAAGGAATAGTAATAATAGTACCAAGGAAAGACGGTTATATTTATGGAATGATCCCGTGTGCCTTCCCTATTTGTCCTGGCTTCCTCTGTCCTGAGATTTGAGGGCTCAGGCGAAGGTTCTGAGGGTCAAGGTGACCAGGGTTTGCATCTTAATGCCATTCGCATCAACTGTTGGACTTTGAACCACCGTTTAAATATGTCTTGCATTTAAAGTAGAATAGTAGCAGCTACTTCACAGAAATGTGGTGAGAATAGAAGAATATGATGTATCTGGTGTACGTTGTTCAGTGCCATTGAGTTGGTCCTGACTCATAGCGACCCTGTGTAAGGTTTCCAAGGAGCAGCTGGTAGGTTTGAACTTCCCGTCCTGTGGTTCGCAGTCCAGCGCTGATCCTACAACACCACGCCAAACACTAGTACCTCCCCTTGTTACTATCACTATTATTCCTTTTCAATAAAGGGACTGATGTGTCAGTCCCGATTGTTTTATTGCTGGTGTTGGAGGCTGGCAAACACTGGGGAGGCAGTTTTTAGTACAGGGATTGATGGAATGAGGGCACCCCCTAGAGATGAACCCACCAGCTAAGAAACGGTTGACTAAGGAGTCCTGGTGTGGTGCTGCGGGCTAATGTGCTGGACTGCAAGGTCAGTTTGAACCACAAGGTTGGCAGTTCAAGCTCACTAGCCGCTATTTGGAAACCCGCTACAGGGTCTCTATGAGTCGAAACTGACTCAGCAGCACTGAACCACAGCAACAACGTAAGACCACCTCCAACTTACATCTCTGGGCAATGGTGGATGAAATTATCTGGTGGTCCAGTATTCATTCGTCCTCACCCTTCCTTGTTAAGATTGTCTCTGCTGAGTTTATAGGACCAGGAATGGAGCTAAGAGTTCAGTCCAGTGGATGCTAGAGCCCAGATCGCTTTTTTCACAGTCCTACCTGTGGCCATCAGCCTTCCGCTGCTGTCTTCAACATGGGCAGTCTTTTAAGTGGTGTAGGAGAAATCCCGGTGTCAGAACTCCGATTTTCAGCTCCTGAATCCCTGTTGTCCAGGAGGCTGTGTACCCCCAAACCTGAGCATAGCCTGGTGGAATGCACAAAGTCAGACACATTCACAACCTGGACCCCATCCCATTCTCTGGAATCAGAGGGTGCATAGACAGTCTCGACATCTCTCCAAACTCTTGGTTGGAGTCAGTTAGTGTAGTTCAGGAGGAAATACATTCAAGAGTTCATCTGTTCTTCCCCTTTCCCAAACTGCTCAAAACTAGAGAAATCGAAAACGCACCCAGACCATGTCAGCTCCTCAGTATGAGGGTGAATTAAGTGTTGTTCCCTTGTTCGCCTTCCTGTCTGATGAGGGAGCCGGGCAGGTCAGTGAGGTGACCGCAGGGAGAGAGTGGAAGGCAGCAGTCTAGGCTGCCTACATGGTGAACCACACTTCAGCATGCTGGGTGTCTGCCTCGTTTCCAGTTAACGTTCTCCCCGTGAAGCAGAGATGGAAGCCTCACCTGTCTCAGTCGCAGGGCTGTGGTTTCCCGGAAGTGCAGATCCCCGAGTCTGCTAAAGCCTTGTTTTGCAAGTTTACTGGATTGCAGTGATGCGGAGAGCAGAGACTTTGAGAGAGGAGTCAGGGTACGAGGAGATTTGGAACATTCTCCATCGTATTCACCCCCAGGAACACCGCTCCTGTAAAGTAGTGTTGGGGAGGAAACAAAACAGGGCCGGCCCATTGTCCTGCAGAAGTCCACTGTAAGGGATAGTCCGGGAAATCGTTTCAAGCAAAAACAGACAAATCCAGGAACGTTCTGGTGTATAATGTAAACTATGCACCGATTCTTGGAATCTTCAAAGGAATTTTAAGCTTCAGGAAGGATTTTGGAGCTCTGCCCCTACAACCATCAAGAACATTTCCCAGAGAAAGACGAGGACTACTGGCAAAGGCGTATCGAGGTTGCGAGGCAGCAGGGACAACTGAGCAGGCAGCTCTGGGGTCATGGACGCCCCCCAACCCAGTTGGGTGCTCCTGGTACTCACAACTGGACACCGTAAGAGGGAGACTCCTCAGTGTGTGTGGAGGGAATTGGTGTCCTCTGGTGCCTCCTTCTTTGAATGAACTCATGGGACCTGGGCTTGTCACATTTCTGGTGGCCAAAAGGCTGGTGGCCACCCAAGGTCCGTCTGTTCTTACACCTTTCTGTCCGTTCCCCCGGCTCTTCTCCAACATAGCGGAGGCTGAAGCTTTTGATTGTTGAGATTTAATCAATAGAGAAGAGAAAGGAAGCGGCCGGAAATCTGGCAGGAAAAAAAAAAAAAAGTCCTTTGCTCTCCTTCGGTTCTTCACCCTTCAGCCCTAGGTTTCGAAAAACTGAAATGGAGGAGGCTCCAATTCACCTGACATTTCACTCTCTTATCCCCGCCCTCTTTCCCTTGTTTTCATCATTCTTTTTCTAGATGCTTTACTGCTCTGATGCCCTGCTGGGCTGAATTGTTCCCAAACAGGATCTTTGTACCACTGTCCTCTGGGGCAGACCCCACCCCATTTTCAATGGTCACTTCTTTGTTCTTGGGGAGGGGGGGCTTTTTGCTTGTTGTTCTGTTTCTGTATTCTCTCTTTTGTTCTCACTGAGCAGATGCACACAGTACACGTAGCATTGGGACCTGAGATGTGCATGTATATACGTGATATAGAATGACGCCAAGACTGAAAGGGCATCACTAAACCAGAAGGAAGAAACGGATGACCCAAGGCACGCCCTGTCTCGGGGGTCTGTGTGATGCGGGTAGATTTCTTATTACATGGGCTAAGCACTGGAAGGCCACCCTGTGTGAGCTTCAACCCCATTGCCACTTACTAGCTTACAAAGTTTGAATGTAAACCACTTGTTGTTAACTGTCGTCACGTTAGTTCTGACCCATAGCAAACCTGTATAGGGTTTCCGAGGAGCAGTTGGTGAGCTTGAACCTCTGACCTTGCAGTTTAAACTGCTTTGCAGTCTGGCACATTAACCCACAGTGCCACACCAGTACCCCACTTAAGAGACCTCAATTCAAATGTAAGAGTATAGTTAACAACAGCTGATTACGTGAATTGTACTTTGCTGTTACAGAATAAGCTATTATCAACTTTACTTTTACAACTGCATTGAGGTCTCCTTCTTGTTGTTGTTGTTAAGTGCCATCAAGTCGATTCTGACCCATATCGACCCTGTAATAGGGTTTCCAAGCAGCAGCTGGTGAGCTTGAACCACCGGCCTTGCAGTTAAACAACTTTGCAGTCTGATACATTAGCCCACAGCGCCATGCCCGGTCTTCTTAGTGGTTTATATGTATGTTTATGTATGTAAGTACTGACTTTGCAATCAACACACCTGAAATTTTTGTCCCTGCTCTGCCACATGCAGATTGGGTAACTTACTTGCCTATTCTGAGACCCAGTTTTCACATGTATTAATTGAGGTGAACGATAATTACCTCTTGTGAGGACAGAATGAAAATACATAGAGAAAGTCCTTAAGCAGTAATAGCATAGGAAATGTTAGTTATCTGTATTGTCGTGGATTGTTGTTGTTGTTGAGTGCTGTTGAGTCGGTTCCCACTCACAGTGACCCTGTGTAGGGTTTCTGAGGAGCCCTGGTGAATTTGAACTGCCGACCTTATAGTTCAAGCCAACATTGTGGCCCTACCAGGACTCCGTTGTTTTGAGTAGCTGAAGTCAATTTTAAATGATCTGCGAGAGGGAACAGACTCTGAGAAAATCCAAGAACTGAAACTTTAAACACATATAGCTGACCATCCCGTTGTCCTGACAACACCCCCTCCCCACTTCCGACCGCAAGTGCCATTTCAAGTACAAAGCACCCTAACTTGCTAGTTTTTGTATTCATCGTCTGTGCTAATGCATTTTCTTATTTGGGGATGGGGGTCCTAGGGAGGTCAGCTGCTTTTACTTGCCTCTACAGCACTGTGTGTCTCTGGTGTAGTATGTCGAGGGGTGTGGGGAACGGGCTCTGCAGTAAGTGGAAAAGAACCCCAGCTCCTTTGTAGTTAGGACGTTGCCTGCAGTCCTGGTGGGCAGGTTACCACTCTCTTGGACTCCATCACTGTCCCTTCCTTGTTGAGAAATGAAACACCTAAAGATTATAGGAGGTCCATTCAGAAGCTTGGGGGAAAACTGAGAGGTGAATTCTGAGTGCTGCTCCTATCAACCAGGCCTTGGCATGACTCAGTCGTCTGTTGTTGTGTTGTTGGAATGATGGCCCCTCCTCCAATTTCCAAGAATCCTAGTGACTGATCACAAGGTACTCTCTGAGGCCAAGCCATGCCAAACTTGGTTAAGCAAAAAATAACAACAACAACAACAACAAAAACAAATTAGATAGGGCCAGCGTTTGGCCATGGTTTGAAAGTGCTAGAAAGGAGACCCCCCTGTCCCCTGAAAATACTGAACTCCTGTGACCATTTCTAGCCCATGGGCCCTTCCTAGTCACCGATTCCCTACCATGGTCCTGACTGCCCTTTTCTTCCTTCCACGCAGATTGTGGCTGCCATCCTTGCCATTGCTGGAATTGTCATGATGACCTACGCAGATGGCTTCCACAGCCACTCGGTCATTGGCATAGCGCTGGTGGTGGGCTCAGCGTCCATGTCCGCCCTCTATAAGGTGAGCACGCCTGGAACAGGCCTCCGCTGGGCCCAGTGTGGCTGGTACCGTCCTTTGAGGAGCCTGTGACCCTGCCAGGCAGCTGCCCTCAGCCCTCGGGACTGTTTCATCAGAGGCCATAGCTTGCAGCATCCAGGATTCATGGGTAGCGTGTAGGATTGGCAGGGGCATGTTAGTGACTAAATTGTTTGGTGGGAACCTGGAGAAGAATTAGGGACCCTAAGTAGCTGGTTCAGCAACTAATCAGATAATGTTCCACAAGATGGGAAATGAAGCCATGAATATCTGATGCAACTTTGTCATTAAAATCTCTTATTACACAGTTCTCAGCACAAATCCATATGCATGTTGTTGTTGTTAGGTGCCATCGAGTCAGTACCGACTCATAGCGACGACAACAGAATGAAACACTGGCCCGTCCTGGGCCAACCTCACCATCATGGCTACATTTGAGCCTATGGTTGCTGCCACTGTGCCCAGCTAGCTCATTGGGGGTCTTGCTCTTTTTCTCTGACCCTCCACATCACCAACCATGATGTCCTTCTCCAACGACTGGTTGCTCCTGATAACATGTTCGAAGTATAAGAGATGAAGTCTGGCCATTCTGGCTTCCAAGGAGCACTCTGGCTGTACTTCTTCCAGGACAGATAGTGCATGTCAAGCATTATTTGTGAACTTAGTAAGTAAAACACAACTACTATCATAATACAGGGAGCACAGTGACTCCTTACAATAAGCACGGGGCTGTGGTCCACAAGGTCCGCGGTTCAAGTCAGCCAGCCACTTTGTGGGAGAAGAGCAAAAAACTCCCTCAAAGATAACCCTATACAGGCTCGCTTTGAGTCGGAAGCCACTCGACAACATTTAACATCAACAACTATAATATAAAAGGAGCCCTGTAGCGTAGTGGGTTATGAGTTGGGCTGCTAACCACAAGGTCAGCAGTTCGAATCTATAAGCCACTTCACAAGAGAAAGATGAGGCTTTCTGCCCCCATTAGGATTTACAGCCTCGGAAACCCTATAAAGGGTCCCTATGAGTCAAAACCAACTCGACGGCACATCACCACCACCAGCTACCACTATAATGTAAGGAGTCCATGTGTGGCACTGTAGGGTAAGTCCTGGACTGCTAACACAAAGTCAGCAGTTCAAATCCGCCAGCCGTTCCTTAGAAACCCTACATAGACTGGCTGTGAGTTAGAACTGACTCAATGGCACTGAACAACAGAAGCCATAAGGTGAGAATTAGAAAACACTTTTTATGAAAAAAATAGGAAGAATGGGAGAGCATTTTCCAACTGTATGAAACACATCTTGATCCTCACACACTGTTCCCTTCCTCTCGAAGGTCCCCCACTTGAGCATGCCCCACTGCCCCCACCCCCCCTGCTCCCCCACAGCTCTCACCCTGCTCTCCTCTCCCTCCCTCCCTCTCCTCTTCTTACACCCTTAGTAAAGACTATAAATATTTCTGGTTTCTAAATTTGAATTGGAGGCCCTAGGTGATGCAAAGGGTCAAACACATTCAAGGCCACCCAGAAGTCCTTACAACCTGCTTCTGAGAAACCAGCCACTGAAAATCCTCCTTAATACCCTTCTCCTCTGACACTCATGGGGACTTCATGCGTCACACTCAACTCCATGGCAGCTGCTTTCAAGCTGAGTGAGGAAGTTAACTTGAGGATTCACTGAGAAATGAGATTTTAGCCTTGAGACTTACTGTTCCTTTGAAGTCCAGACAACTGTGAGGTTGGCGCAGGGCAAGGCAGTGTTTCATTCTGTTGTGCATAGGGTCGCTAAGAGTCAGTACTGACTCAATGGCACCTAACAACAATTCCAGACAGTCAGGCGGAGAAAACTAGGCAATTCAGAAAGTTCCAAGGGAAAAATATTTTTAAAAATTTTCAGTTCTGTGAGCAACATGTGTCATGATTTTGGAAAGTGAGATAACTGTGCCTTCCTGGCTTCCAGCACATCCCTCCTCACTGTCCACAGTGACACACATCCTCCAGCTGTGGAACACGTCTCCCGAGGGGATGCTGTGGGCTGGCATCAGGATGACTCACTCGAGTCTCTGTCCAAATGCAAAGCACGTTCAAGGGCCGAAGGGCACTGCTCTCCTCGATGCACCGTGTGCTGATGGGAATACAATTCACAGTGAACACACGTTGTCTGGTTTAGACTTTAGTCTTCTCCTCCACTGCCCGATGTGTGCAGAAGGGCCATTCGATGGGAGACTGGAAGCTGTTTAGGTTCTCTTCCCTATTCCCTGCATGAAGGAGTTGTGAAATGATTGAAAAAGGAGGACGCAGGTAAAAGGAGATGCGGCCATGCAGACCCTCACATTGGAACACTGAATCCAATCCGAATCGTCCCTTACTTCTGGCTTTCCAAGAACTGGAAATTCCAATTGTCGTGGTGCTGTGTGTTAATGTGCCAGACTGCAATGCCATTTGAACTGCAAGGTCGGCGGTTCAAGCTCACCAGCTGCTCTTTGGAAACCCTATACAGGGTCGCTATGGGTCGGAATCGACTCAACGGCACTTAACAACAACAATTCCAATTATCCCTTACTTCTGGCTTTCCAAGAACTGGAAATAATTTACAAACAAGAACCATTGCAAGAAATAATGTACAAACAAGAACCATTGCAAGAAATACTGGTTGGGGGATTCCATTAAACCCCATGCCATTTCTGGAATGGGAGTGGTAGAATAGAGCAGAAATGAGCTACGAGTATATAAGCCCTACCCTTGGATTTGCATAATTCCTGCACATCCAAAGCCCTTGTTTATGGCAAGGGGCAATGATTTTCAAATTGTGATGCACCAAGTCAGGGATGAACTCTAGGGTCTTTGAAAGCAATGTGCAACCATTGCAGTTATTTCCAATCGATAAGGCTTTTTCAGGAGTCCTTGGTGGTGCAAACAACATGCTTGGCTGCCAGTCAGAATGTTGGAGGTTGGAGTTTATCCAAAAGTGCCTTGGAAGAAAGACCTGGAGATCTCTGTCTGATTGATCAGTCTCTGAAAACCTGATGGAGCGCAGTTCTACTCTGCCATCATGGAGTTGCCCTGAATTAGAGTTTACTTGATGACAACTGGTTTGGGATCTTATCTTCAGACTATCTGAAGTTGGGGTACAGTGTCATGAATACCAGAGAGACAAGTCTGGTGTCAGAATTCCCAAATACTGAGTATGCTCTGTATAAACCTAGAGAACAGCTCGCCATCATGATGTGAAATCCAAAAATCAAACCCACTGCCTTCCTGACTCACAGTAACCTGACTCACAGTGATCCTACAGAATAGAGTAGACCTGCTCCATAGGGTTTCTGAGACTCTCTATCTTTACTGAAGCCCACAGTCTCATCTTTACCCCATGGAGCTGCTAGTGGGTTTGAATCACCAACTCTTCAGTCAGCAGCTCAATGCTTGACCCAGAGCACCACCAGAGCTCCTCACCATTGTGCTATTGCTGTGCCATCGAGTCAGTCGGGTCCAACTCATAGCGACCCTGTATAGGATTTCCAAGGAGCCGCTGGTGGGTTTGAACCGCCGACCTTGTGGTTCACGGTCCAGTGCTGATCCTAGAGTGCCACACCAGGACATTACTTAGGTTTAAACTCATGTATAAATGAGCAGGAGTGAAATCCCTTGTTCCTTGGAAGGTAGCATTTGCCTGTAATGTGGGCGCTAGTCCAGTGGTCCAATCCCAGTATTCTGCTTAGGTGTACAAAGTTGAAGTCTGAGGTACAGCTTCACCTGCCACATACTCTCTCTTCTCTTGTAGGTGTTGTTCAAACTTCTCCTGGGCAGCGCTAAGTTTGGAGAAGCGGCCTTATTCCTGTCCATCTTGGGTGTGTTTAACATCCTCTTCATCACCTGTATTCCTGTGATTCTCTACTTCACCAAAGTGGAATACTGGAGCCCCTTCGATGCCATTCCATGGGGAAACCTTTGTGGATTTTCAGTTCTCTTATTGAGTAAGTGGCAACCCCTTTTTTTTGGAGGGGGGTGGGTATTGGAAACCCCCCAATGATTCTGTGCAGCTCAAGGGGAACTTTCTTCCTTGGGGAGAAAGCCATTTGTTTTCATCATAATGTTCCATTGTTAGGTTCTCCACAGTAAAACCTTTGTTATGGGTTCTGACTTCAGAGCCAGAGTCTCAGAGCCCAGCATACTGCAAGTCACCTGCCAATAAATCCCACAGAGCTGCTGAGGAGCTGGTAAATGCCCAGTCCTACAACACTGCCTGGTCAATGTCAGTGTCAGTGTCAGTGTCAGTTTCTCTCATCAATTATCGTTACTACCATCACTTCTCATGGAGCTCTGGTAGCGTAGTGGTTATGAATCGGGCTGCGAGCCACAAGGTCAGGAGTTCGAAGCTACCAGCTGTTCCACGGGAGAAAGATGAGGCTTTCTGCTCCCATACAGATTTACAGCCTCGGAAACCCTGTACAGGGTCACTATGACTCAGAACCGACTCCACGACACGTAACCACCACACCACCACCATCCCTTCTCAGTGAAGTCAGGCTAGTCTAGGGAAAACAGCAACCCTGAAGGGGGGTCTCTTCCTCTGTAAGTCTCAGCACAAATCCAAAAGCTCTGATTCCTACAGTCACTGCAGAAAAGAGCCAAGTGGGGAGGGTGGTCACAGTCCCCCCCTTCCTAGTGCCTTCCCACTGGCTACCTTTCCTGAATTTCTTTTCTCTTCTTCAAAGCTCAGGAAGAGAAGAGGGGTTGCATATTCAGGTATTTGCCCCGAGTCCCCAGCCTTGGAGCCCTTGGAGGAACCTTGGGTCCATTCTTTGCTTCTGGAACTGAATCAAAGCAGATAGCGCCTAAAATTCATGACTTCAGTCTCATCAGGGGTCAGATAACCCACAGAGGAGGTCAAACTCAGGGCCAGTCATGACTAACATAAAAAGAATGTATTCGGATGCCAAGAAAACCAACCATCATTTTGTTCTTTATTTCAGCATTCAATATTGTACTAAATTTTGGAATTGCTGTTACGTATCCTACTCTGATGTCTCTGGGAATAGTCCTCAGTGTACCTGTGAATGCAGGTAATGTTTCTATATCTCTTTGTTAAAAACACAGCCTCACAAAATCTTACATATGCACTCATGTAAATTCCTGTTATGTCTTGTATAGAACACACTCTTAACTTTCTACAAAGAAAGGAACCACTGGGGTAAAATGTTGGTTGGTGCTTCTTAGATATGCAATGCTTTCTTCAGAATGGGTTGATTTTCACTTCTCCACCAAGATTCAGAAAGTCTAAAGCTCTCTTAGTTCTAACAGGTATGAGGGTCATCAATGAATGTGTTAATAATAAATGTAGAAAAACTATGTAGCAAAAAATTGGTTTTGCTGTTTGACTATTTCTGATCATTCCAGACAGAAAGAGGACCTGTAGCTCTCACTTTGCAGTTCTCTGATGCTCACCATTGAAGCATTGGAATTGCATTACTCCCTTGAGCATCCCAAGACCCACACCTCTCTGGGCTTTCACTTATCTTTCCTGAAAATGAGTATAGTGACTCTCCTCAATGGAATCCCTGTCTGGTACAAATGGTTAATATGCTCAGCGGATAACTCTCAACTCAGAGGCATCTAGGGGAAAAAAAAGTCTGGGCACCTACTTCTGAAAAATCAGTCATTGAAAGCCTTGTGGACCACAGTCCTACTCTGATACACATGGGGTTGCCATGAGCCAGGTTGACTGGATGACAGTACTAGCTAGCTCTTACCAACCCTTGATGTTTTGGTTGCTGTGCTGTTGGATAAGCACTGGACTGCTTACCCCGAAGTTGGTGGTTCAAGCCTACCAGCCACGCTTTGGAAACCCTATACAAGGTCGCTGGGAGTCAGAAGTGACTCGATAGCCCTTAACAACAAACACAACAAGAGAACCAATGACAAAGGACAATTTGTCAGTGACGGAGAGCATGTCTGCACACTGAAGACCCATAAACATTATTTTCTTTCTTGGAAGAGCAAGCGAGCCATTTGTCACCTCAAAGTCTCATTGTGTGTTCCACCCAATTAGCAGCTATTTCAAAGCATGCCATTACCTGACCATCATCTCCTGTCTCCTTCTGGGTCATTCTTGGATGAATTTTGTCTTTCCCAGAATTCCCTTACATCCCACTTTATAGCCTGCCCCAGACCAGGAAGAGCTTGTGCATCACTTCCCTCTAGAGTACTAACCTCAGCTCTATAAAACACCAAAGCTCCCCTGCACTGGTCATACCGTGTTCCACGCCATCTTCCTAATCCTCCCACATCCAGGTCACTAAAGGATTGCCCTCCGTGGAATGGAGACCTTTCTCCAGTTAAATGGTCCTGGAAATGTGAACAAAGCAGCTGTCAGTGTGTCGGCCCCATGTGTTGGTTCTCCCCCTTCACCCCTCATATCCCACCATTTTACACACGTCCTCCAGTGCCCACACTCTCCCCCAGTAGAAGGACCTCAAGAAGACAATGTCAGGTGGCCTGAGCTGGAGTCAGGAGATCAGACTTGGGCCCGGCACGACTAACACCCATCTGGAAAACTTTGGTTCCAGCGCCTCACCCTTCTGGGCCTTCAATAAAAATAAAATGAGGGTAGCACATACCCTCATCACATTTGATATGAAAACCAAATGACATAATCCACAAGACAGGCTTTCAAAATGCATTAAGTCTCTGAACTCCAGGAGACTGTTAAAAAGTTACCCAGTGAGATTGTAACCATGGTAATGAAACGATATACAACAGGATGAATGTAAAACTAATGTTCTCCCATGTAAACTATTACATAATTCACAATAAAACATTAAAAAAAAAAAAAAAGTTACCCAGTCCGTCATTTCCAGATACTATATAGGCTTTTCAGACCCTGCTATAAGTCCTTTCAATGGAAATATTAACATTATACTTGCCAACAGCTATGCTCCTAGATTCTGATCTATAAGGCACTGCTTCAAACACAGGGAGGAAGTAGGAGGGGTGCTGCTCCTCATTGATGGAGACTGCCATCAATGTCACAAAGCAAAAACACTGTTGCATTGTTGAATAGAATGAATTATTGAATGGAAAAGCAATTTGCTCTGTGAAACTTTCACACAATCGCAACTGAAAATTAACCTAATAATAGTAACGGCCTGCTTCACAGAAGTAGCTGGAAAACTTTTGATGAGATGGTTCAAAACCAAGGAGCTCAAAGATTGGAGCTCTTTCAATTGCTGAGCTTTCAGATTCATTGCCTATTAAGCGTCAGAGCTATGGAAAGGCTAAGAGTACCAACAGCATGTTCTAGAACAATGACTTGTTAACACACTCCCTTACATTTTATTATGTTCTTAACGTCCAGTCACACAGAGCTCTAATTGCTAGAAAGCATATTCCAGGTAGCTCTTACGTTGTTGTTAGTGCCGTCGAGTGAGTTCTGACTCACAGCGACCCTGTACAGGGTTTCCAAAGAGCAGCTGGTGGCTTTCAACTGGTGACTTTGTTATTCCTAGTCCAGTGCTGATCCTACAGCACCAAATCAAAAGGTACCACTGCCAAATCATAGAAAAGGTCGTAATAATTAAAAATAAAAAACTTTATTAAACAAAAATACCAAAATATGAAGCTATTCCTTCTCAATATATCCTCCACCTACACCTGTACACTTCTGAAGGCCATGTTTCCATCTCTCTAACCATTCCTCGGGAATCCTGGTGTGGTGCTTGCTGTGGGTTAATGTGCTGGACTGCAAAGTCGGTTCGATCCACGAGATCGGCGGTTCAAGCTCACCAGCTGCTCCTCAGAAACCCTATCCAGGGTCGCTATGGGTCGGAACCGACTCAACGGCACTTAACAACAACTACCATTCCTCAAGGAATTCTGCGCTCTGTGATTTACACTACATTGAAATGGTAGTTCTGATAACTGTGAGGTTAAATTGTAAACATCACAGTTCCTTTTAAATGTTCTTTGAGTTTAAGGAACTAAAAGAAGTCTAGAGAGACAAGATCAGGGCTGTAGGTTGAATGGGGTTTTTCAATGAAATGTTCACAGGACAGTCTTTACTAGGCTCAAAGAATGAGCAGGCGCATAATCGTAATAGGAAAGCATTTCTGTGGCACAATTCTCCCTGGTTTTCTCCCATCGATACAATTTTCAATTTTCTTAAAACTTCTTCAAAATAAGACCCCCGTGATTCATAAGGAGACTCCATGATTCTTTGAGAAAATCTATTAAGCTATTACCCCTTTGGAGTTTCCCCAAACAGTTGTCATAACCTTCTGAGCTGACCTCTCTACTTTGAATTTAAATGGCCAAGAATAGCTCCTTGGAAGCACTGTTTTAACTGACTTGATTTCTGAAGGCACAAGACTAAGACGAGTGTATTCCTGAGAGAACTTGTCTTCAGTCATCCACCGATCACTGAGACTTAAATATGTTTTGTTTGGATGTGATGTACCAACTCGAACTTTAATGGCAATACTTTTTTACTGACCCTCATAGAAACTAAGTATGAAAATCGCCTTACCAAATGCTTGAGAGATTAATAAAAATCATTTCTTATTATTTATGTAAGAGGTTAAATAATGTATCTAAGAAGGGAATTTTTAGATAAATTCTTGATTAGAGGAGAGCAGCAAAGGGCTCTCAGCTAATGATCTAAATCCTCTGAGCGGAGCCACCTAAGGACTTCCTGACACTTACACCTAGTCCAACTCATGTGCTGTACTGGGTGAATCAACAGAACATGGTACCGGTACTAAATAATTAAATGTTACTGTTTCTGACATATAATGTAGTACAAGGGGCATCCTTAAAGAACCCTAGTGAGGCCACCATTAAGTGCTCAGCTGCTAACTAAAAAATTAGGGATTTGAACCCATCGGTGACTTGGTATAAGAAAACCCTGATGGTCTCCTACCGTAAAGATGGCCACCATGAAAACCCTGGGTCACCTGATCACCATGAGTTGGAATCAACTCATCGGCATCTAACAACAACAAAATTCCACCAAAAGGGCTGCTATTAAAGTTGTTTTTTTTTTTTTTCCAAGTTTCCCTCTTTTTCTTTGCCCAAGCTCTTCATAAAGGAGCTCTGGTAGTATAGTGGTTACAAATTGGGCTGCTATCCTCAAGGTCAGCAGTTGGAAACTACCAGCGGTTCCACAGGAGAAAGATGAGGCTTTCTGCTCCTGCAAAGATTTACAGCCTCGGAAACCCTGTACAAGGTTGCTATGAGTTGGAAATGACTCCATGGCCCATAACCAACACCACCGCCGCCACCAAGCTCTACATAAGGTGTAAAAGGTCAGATTCAGGAGGGAAGAAGAAGGCAAGAGAAAGTAGAAGAGGAGGGAGAAAAAGACAGGGCCGCCTACAACTTGAGGAAAACAAAAGCAA